CCCCCCCCCCTCTCTCTCTCTCTCTTTAATTACATACAGATTGCAACTTATGTCCAATTTAATTTCCACTGAATGTTACCCAATATTCCCCATAATGGCTTCAAAGGGGAGTTATTCAGGGGTGGACTTTGATGAGCCGGATGGAAAGTGGACAAGCTAGGTTTAGTTTTAATTAGTCTACTTATAAATAATGTATCGGCTGCTGAAAGGCTACGAGTCGTTGTCCCATTGCTTTAAATCCAAAGCATGGTGAGAGTAGTTCCAAAATATTTGATAAAATCAAGTGCAGAAGAACATCTTATGTTATTAACATGCAAATCTCTGTTTACTGTACAATATGTTATAAATGGCACTGAGATTAAATTACATATGTTACAGATTCTGTTGGTTCTTTCTTCTGCAGTTTAATTTTGTCCTCTTCCAGTGATGGTATTGGTCAAAGTCAGAGCCAGCCAGGCTGGATCCCCTTCCCCCGGCATAGGATGTATTTTCAATCCTAAAATGGACATCCTAAAAGCTGCCATTTCCCACTGTCTGGTGCACTCTCTCTGGAACTGACACTGTGTCATCGGCTTGTTCAGTGGAAATGACAACAACGCCTCTAGGGTAGTAAAATGGAAAAAAAAAAATGGGTATCCCTAAATGCTCTGTGAACTTTGCTCCAGTCACCCTATCCTCCTTTCATCTCTCTCCCATCACACTCTCACTCACAGAGACGATGGTAGACTGGACTAATAAGTGCACTTAAATTGAACAAAATGCTAAAGTCTCATGGGCTTTGGGAATTAATGGAAAGATAACCACTGGTCCATTTCAGCCAGAGCATCATCTGTTGTTGAAATAACGCTATTTATTCCCTTTTGTTAATGGCATTACTCCCAAACCTAAAAATACAGCCAAAAAAATCCATTAAGCTTATAGACAGGTTCAGAATGATATTTCAAGTAGATTTGATAAAATGAGACTTGGATTGTTGAGTTTGGATTCATTTTGTCTGTAAAGTAAACCAGTCTGCTTGGCACCATCTGCATAGCAGATAGATTCACCAGTTGCAGAATGCACTTACATATATATGCATATTATGCAACAGAGTAATTGAGAAACTCTCCATGGCCTAATTTAACTAATTACTTACAGATGGCAGCAGGAAGCAGATGCAGTTACCTCATTGCGCCTTAGCACAGGTGTTTCATTCAGCTGCCATTTCTCACACTTTGCACGTAGTCTCCTAAGTAATGGATGTGCTTATTAAAGATGAAATGAATGAAGTCATACAGTGAAATGCCATACAGCGTGTTTCATGTTGCTACAGATAACAGCCTTTAATTTAGGCATGCATGAGATAAACACATGATTCATAGCAGACGAACAATCTCTTTTTCTGTCTTTTTTAAAAACGAAATTAATAATAAATTTACATTAGCATCCATAAACAGAAGACTTAAGCGTCACCACCGTTAAGCTAGTATGGCGTTAAATTCTCTCGTTTTTTGTATCTTCATATCAGGGTTGCAGTGTGGCTGAAGCTTATCCCAGCTGTCATTGGGCAAGAGGCAGCGTACTCTCTGGACAGGGTGCCAGTCTCATGTACAGATAATCATTCTTTTTTCATATTCACCCCAACAGTCAATTTATAATCACCAATTAACCTTTTATGTAGTCATGGGGAAAAAAATTTTTTTATAGGGCTCTATGCAAACATGTAGGAAAATGAGCTTGAAACAATGGTTTTCTGTCTGACTTTATTAGTCTCGCACATTGTTGCGAGTGTATTCTGACACACTCTACTTTACATCGTTACTTCAGGTCATCGAGGTTTGCAGGCCTTCATTTATGCACACCTGTCTTAAGGTCCCACCACAGTCTAATCTTTGATTGGGTCATTGCAACACCTCAAGTCTTTTCTTTTTCAAACATTTTGTTGTAGATTTGCTTCTGTGCTTAGGATCACTGTTGTCTCAGAACCGAGTTTCAGCCAAGCTTTAGCTGTCGGACAGATAGCGTCACATTTGCCTCGAGGATTCTTTGGTTCATGGTGGCTGCACTATGTGCCCTGATCCTATGGCTGAAAAACAAGCCCAATCATCACTCTTCTACCGTGCTTTGCAGTTGGTATGAAGTGTTTGTGCTGATATGCTGGTTGGCCAAACGTAGGTATCGCAGTATTGACCAGTATTGTGTGGTCTGACCTTCCTGGGAAGATTATGGCATTGTTTTAACACACATCTGAATGCTCCAGATCAGCAAACTGCTAAAACTTTGATAAAGGTGATCACACTTGCTAGTGGTCAGTCAATCAAATGTATTTGAGTGGCAGCACCTGGCTGTCTCTGGGAAGATGCCAGAGTACCTGGAGAGGACCTATGCAGGCACAGGAAGAACATGCAAACTCCACAGTCCAGCGGATTCAAACACATGTTTACCTTGAAGAATATATTCATATATAAATATTAGGGGTGCAACAATACTCGTATCGTTATTGAACCGTTCGATACAGTGCTTTCGGTTCGGTAGGCATATGTATCGAACAATACAAAATTTGTAATTTATTTTATCAACTTTCCTTCTGACG